ACTTTTAAGAAATTATCCCAGGTCGGGGGTGGGCAAAATGGGTGAAGGGGGTCAAAAGGTACAAAATTCCAGTTATAGAATAAATAAGTCATGGGATGTAATGTACAGCGTGGTGATGCTGGTTAACAATATAGTATTATATATTTGAAAGTTGCTAAGAGAGCAGATCTTACAAGTTTTCATTACAAGAAGAAAAACTTCTAACTATGTGTGGTGATGGATGTTAACTAGCCTTATTGTGGTGACCATTTAATAATATATACAAATATTGAATCATTCTGTTGTACGACTGAAACTAATATAATATTAATTGTATCTCAATTTTTTAAAAAAAATGCTCATAAGTTTAAATATAAGAATATTCATTCTTTTTTTAAATTTTAATAAATGCTTACATGTGAGCACTTAGTACTATCTGATAATTAAGTTTCATTCACGTTTATAATTCTACTACTTTAGGTAGCACAGTGCAGTGTTTAATTGCACAAATTCATTTAAATCCTGGCCCTACCTCTTACTACTATATAAGTTTCCTCATTACAGTTTTAATTGTGACAGTTTAAAACTGGAAATAACAAACACCCTTCAATACAAAACAGGTTTAATCTATCATGACACATTTATATAAGATTATTATCTATTAAAAACAATGAGGTAAATTTATAAGTAACTATCACAAAAAGATATCCAAAGCATGAAAATGCAGGTTGTAAGAGAGTGTGTACAGCATGATGCTATTTGTGTAAAACACACAGAAACAACAGACATATATCCTGATGTGTGTACTGAAAATACTTAGCATAACACAAACATCAATTATTTATGAAAAATGGGATTACTGGAGCTAGAAAGTAATCTCGGTTTTTCAATTTTTTTCTTTTTTTTTTTTTTTACAATGAGGCCTTATTGCTGTTATAATAAATGTTTTTTTAAAGTCCATTTACAATTGGAGAAAAAAATTCTACATTTTCTTTTCTTTTTTTTTTTTTTGGTGAGGAAGATCAGCTCTGAGCTAACATCCATGCTAATCCTCCTCTTTTTGCTGAGGAAGACTGGCTCTGAGCTAACATCTATTGCCAATCCTCCTCCTTTTTTTCCCCAAAGCCCCAGTAGATAGTTGTATGTCACAGTTGCACATCCTTCTAGTTGCTGTACGTGGGACGCGGCCTCAGCATGGCCAGAGCAGTGCGTCGGCGCACGCCAGGGATCCGAACCCGGGCCACCAGTAGCAGAGCACGGGCACTTAACCGCTAAGCCACGGGGCCGGCCCTCTACATTCTTTTATAAAGACTAATATTTTAACTAATTGCATATGTAATAATACTGAAATATATCTGTTAGGTAAACTATCAGGCAGTATTTTAGGTTTACTCTTTCAAACTCTACTGGGTAGTTTTTCCAACATAGTATTAGAAAACTGTTCCATTACTCATTAAACTTACTGTAAAGTATTCATGTGCTATACATGAGCCCCCAATACTATACCAAATACCATTATAAAAATTAATCACCTCACCTCTTCTACTCTGCACTGAAGCAAGAGGAAAGAAGAGACAGGAAAAAGATTAGGAATATAGAGAATTCACACATTTATACAAACAGCAGATTTGGAAGCGCTTCTGAATTAAAGCATAAAAATACTACACAGAGTAAAACTTTAAAGACTTCATTAATCAATTATACTAGATTCTACACAAATAATGGAAAAGAGTGTTGAATAGCATTGACCAAGCACTTTTGCTAAATCTTAAGATATTTAATTTAATTTCCATTTAAGAGAAAAAGTTCCCAGCCAAGTTTATAAGAGTACTTACTGATCTGATTCAAAGTTTCCTGAGGAATCCAACTCATGTCCACATCATTCTGACTTGATGTACCCATCTCTACTTTCTGTATGGGTCTCTTGCGCTGAGAACATAAAACATTACTTTAAAGGAGTTCCATTATATTGTTTACCATAATTTTAAAGAGATCTATGAAGCTACTTAATTTAAATATCTTAATAGACAAATGTGTTTTCTCTAGTTTTAAAATACACTCTAAGAATTTTATTAATTAGAAGGCAAAATCACGTCTAGCATCAATTATAAAGAATAAATAATAAGGAATAAATCTTCACAACAATTATTTATTTTCAGGCTTTAAAGACATTTTCCTCTGCTATAAAGCTTCATATATTATTATACAATTGGTGGACCAACTAAGAATTTCTACTTATACAATGATTTTCTTTTCCTTTGGGAATCAAATCTCAAAGAACAAATTTATTTCTACATTCAACAAAATTCCGGATAATTACTGAAATGCTGCATGTAGGTAGATTCCTGCACTGTTAGCCAAATACACTTAAATAGTTGGCATAGATAAAACAAAACAAAAACATAAAATCTCGTTTAAGCTAACAACCTCAAACTTTGTCCCTAGAGTTATTTGCAGCAAAACTGCTAGAAAGTTAAGACAGTGATTCAATTCCACTCTTTAGCCCTGCTCTTAAAAAAAACTAAACTAAAACTAATTATTTACTAAGAAACAGAGTATTAATTATACAGTCCAAAAATTAGATTCTGAATACACAGAAAGCTAACTAAAAAACGGCTTCATTCATGTGGAAAAACCTTGGAGATGCCATTACACCCAACACACAAAAGTAGGCAAAAATGCTGACTGTTATAAAAATGAGGTAAAGTTATGGAAATTAACATTTAAGCACTAAGTATTTCTCTTCTAAAGAGCAAGTACTTATTAATAACATTTATTACTAATTTTAATATATAGATTTGATTGCCTGACTTAATGCTTAATAAATATTCACCAAAATGTCTATCAATTGTTTAAAGTCTGGTTGATATTAAAAAACTTGACACAAATCATGTTATACTTTCCCTCTGAGAGGAGTAGTATGGGTTGTTTTGTTTTCTGGGTCTTTTTTTCCCGGTGGGGGAGGAGAGGGAGATGAGGACATGGCGGTGAAGTTAGCCACCACATCCAGAGAGAGACACCAGGATGACAGTGGGTGCTTCAGGGTGGCCGCCTTACCACCACAACCAGAAAACAGAAGTTTGACCGACAGAACAAATACAGCCCAACTCACTCCTTCTTTTTCAAATAAGAAGACTCATTTAATTGCTAATTAGGAATTATCCCTATACGCTAAAGTATTTAAAGCAAATATAAAAGTTGCATTGCTTACAGATAAAATAACATATCCATGAAATAGTCAACAGAACAATGAAATCTTAGTCTGAGTTTAAGGAATAAGAATTCTAGCATAATTCAGAGTTACAATAAGAAGGTAAAGATCAATCTGGAGGGTGTAGACAAAGGACATTAACTGCATGTGTGTACAAATGTCTAAACAAATTCAAGTCACGTATCCAAGGTCTCATCTTCATGTTAAAAGATACAACAAATCTGTAAATTTACAAACCTAAGGTAAAAGCAAGAAGTCACAAATAACTAGACTGTACTTAACTTGTCACTGTAACAACTTTTCAAGTATGGCTGTAAGAGTTGCTCATCTGTAATTACCTTTCTAGATTCGAGGAGTTGATGAAGGCCAACAACCACCAAGAGCCCAAGACCAGCAAGGAACATATACATAAAGATTCTGGTATAAAGGGAGAAAGTAGAAACTGGCTTTAATTCATAAGAAATACCACAGCTAATTAAAACTATAAATCTGCTTTAACTCATAAGAAATATCATAGCTAATTACAACTATAATTCTAACACTACATAAGCTCTCCAAACAACCTGTTGGGAAAGGGAATAAAATATTTTAAATTCAACTTAGATCCAGGTAATAAGTTTTATAAATTTACTTTTACCTCTATGAATAAAATAAAAAAAGCAATTATATGATCTAAAGTGAAAAAAATTACTTTATAATTGCATTAGGTTTTGTCTCCCTCTAATATTAGATTATTTTGCACAGTTTGATTTAAAAATAACTTTTGGTGAATTACACATATGCATACAGTAAGAAATGATTCATCATTCACAAAGAATACATTTTTCAAGATAAAATCTTATAATTTATGTGTTCAATAACAATTTTAGAGGCATGCAACTTAGATTAGGCTGGTGATCAGCTTAAAAGCATGGGGTGGAAAAGAATTTAGAAGAGGGAAGGATGGAAAGCCAACTACCTTTTTAAAAATATTTTTTGGCAGTTTTCCATTATCTTTCCTAACTTGGTATTAATAGTTTTAAGAATCATCTAAGGTATGGATTTACATAGCCAGGATTTCACAAAATTTATAGCTCATTCCATTTTCACCATTTAATAAAAACGTGTCAACAGGAGCAAGCCCTTCAGTCCTACCTAATGAGATTTAAGATCTACATATTTCAACTTTCACTTACGTTTCTCCATCTAGCCCATCCTCTCTTTCAATAATTGTAACTGTTTGATTGAAGACAGCATCTTGGAATACATTGCCCTGTTTAAAAAAAAACACAAAAATCTGAAATGCATCGAAAGAATGAAAGTTTAGAAGATTTCTTAAAACTGTTACCCTAGCAGATAGACTATAGCTTTCTTGTCACTTAGAAAGTCAGTAAGACACAACAAAACCATATGTAATTGCACTAATTCCATGTGAGGGATTCAACATTGTGTTACTTCCTCCCACAAAATAAAAAATGCCTCCAACTTTGCATCTATCCCCCACTTTCTTGGGGGTGGGGGGGAGTGGAAAGGTGTGAGGAACCAGGGAAGTAAAATAAAAACAAGATAAAATATGCAGAAAAACAAAGCCCACAGAACACTCTTACACTAGAAGCCCTAGCTTCTCTTGTGTGTAATCCTCCAACAGGAAAGAGCATCAAAATGTACAATAGTAGCTGCAAAAGCAGATCATTTTAAGAACTAGACTTGAATAAAAGTCAAATTTATGTTCTAAATTGACAATGGATTGGAAATCAATTTCTTCATAATAAATAGGTTGGCGATTTCAGTATCAAAATATTTTTTTGTTGTGGTCTTGAAACAATTCTGTCAGTTCAACACAACTTCAGTTTTCAAATGCACCAGAAGCACCAAGACAATACCTAGACAGCTGTTTTCAGTGTTTAATGTTCACACAAAGGTAGTAATACTTTTTCAAAACTGTCACTTACTGCTAAATTGTCATTATGTAAGTTTTACTTCAAGATCTTTCAATTTGCATTCCTCTATCAATAATTCCAATAATCAGAATACACTGATGAAACTAACATTCAAAATGAAACGGAAACTACATATATGCCTGTTGGATTAAGTTTAATTCTGCTGAAAATAAGACAAAACATATAATTCTTCAAGCGACTTAACTGTGAAGTTGAGGAAGCTTAATACATTATTTTGAAGACAGGAAGGATGAAAAGCCCTTCCCACTCTACTAATTAAAAAAAAAGGAAAACTTAATTGCAGCACGAGAAATTTAATTCAGACATAAGGTAAACATATTGACACTAGGATGATGAAAAGGTCGAATAAGGGGCCAGCCTGGTGGCATAGTGTTTAAAGTCGTGTGCTCCGCTTCAGTGGCCTGGTGTTCACGAGTTCGGATCCCAGGCATGGACCTACACACCACTCATTAAGCCATGCTGTGGCAGCATCCCACATACACAAGAGAGGAAGACTGGCACAGATGTTAGCTGAGGGACAATCTTCCTCAAGCAAAAAGAGGAAGACTGGCAACAGATGTTGGCTCAGGGCCCATCTTCCTCACCAAAAAAAAAAAAGGTTGAATAAGCTTCCAAGAGAGGATGAAATTTCCTTCTTTGAAAACTTTTCGGGGGCCGGCCCCGTGGCTTGGTGGTTAAGTGCACGCGCTCCGATGCTGGTGGCCCGGGTTCGGATCCCGGGCGCGCACCGAGGCACCACTTCTCCGTCCATCCTGAGGCCGAGTCCCACATACAGCAACTAGAAGGATGTGCAGCTATGACATACAACTATCTACTGGGGCTTTGGGGGGAAAAAATAAATAAATAAAAAATCTTTAAAAAAAAGAAAAAGAAAACTTTTCGAAAAGAGAATGGTTCAGATGTGCTCTCATCTGAAGACGGACATAATAGCTGGCATCCAGAAGTCAACTCCCAGCAGTAAAACTGTAGTGGGCTTCTCTCATTCATTCATTGGATATATATTATATATACTAAACACCATAAGAAAGACAACCGAGTTTATATTAGGCTATTTGGTTCTCATAAACCATAAACCTTACTGCTAAAACTATCTTAAAAATAGCAGACTCTGTGTGCGGCTTACTGCTCCTTTTTCTTTTAAGATCCAGCTCAAGTCACTTCCACTTTCATACCATAGCACCTTACACTTATCTCTACTATGTGTCATTTACTATGCTGTGATATTGCCTATTTACATCCATCTCTCCCACTGGATTATAGACTTGAAGACTGAGACATGCTATTTATCTTTGCCTCCTGGTGCCTATCACAGTTGCAACCACAAAACAGGCACCTGAATGAATAAATATAAGAATATTCATTACTCAATGTCAATTGTCCTCATCTATCTCTATCTAACTTTAAAAAAAAAAAAAAGAAAGGTTTAGAAGGCCTTACATTCAAATCTTTGTAGTTCAGATTGATGACTAGACCAAAGGGTCGTCCACCCATGGGCTCTGCAGGAATGAAGGAGTACTCAAAAGTTGCCTGTCTCTGGGGTGGCACTACAGTGTTCAGAGGAAGAGCTGTGAAATTCTGGATATAAAACTGGTAGTCCTGAGGATAACGAAATGAGGCATCTAGGGATTCAACAATAAAATCTTCTGTACCCTTGTTTGTAAAGCCTACCAGGAACTTCACAATGTTATTTGCTGGAAAATCTAAGAAACAAAAAAAAGACAGGAAGATTAGAAAATGTTCAAAGGGTATAAAATAAAAAGTAGACATTACCAATGGATTTTGGCACTCTTTCCTGCTACATGTTGACCTGGTTTCAGAATCCTTTTCAATAGAGCACTCCAATCATCCACTAACTAGTTACTGGAGTTCGTGCATAAACAAACCCTTCTGTCTGTAATCTAGCATTCCAAATTAAGAGTTAACTGAGCATTTCAATTTCAGACCAGATCACATCCAGATTATATGGTCTAAGAAAGAGTTGTGTACTTTTTGCAGTAAGATTACCTTGCAGGGCTACATGTCTTAATGAAGTCACCTTTCCCCCAACTCAACATCTGTTATCTGTGCAGATAATGGAGAGAAGAATAACAAACAGATAGAGTCTAAGAAGTTCACCTGAAAACTGTAGTATCTGTTAGAACATAAAAAATTAATCAGGCAATCCCTATCTACTTTAAGCAATTACTCAAAATGCCAATTGGATGGTAAGATGCAAGGAGGCAGCTACAAAAATAAACGGGGTAAAAAAAAACTTCTTAATCAAATTAAACTTTTTGTAGGCATAAAGTTGGATCATACATGGGAATAAAACAAAAAACTTTAGAAGACCAAGAAACTAATAACTTCAAATACTAAGTCTTCAATAATTATACTAGAGTCTACAGAGCTGAGTTTCAGCCAGTACACACAGCCTGTGCTGTCAGACAGATCAGGGTCTGCATCCTGTCTCCACAATCTATTTACTAACTGGCTAACCCTGGACAGGTTGTTAACCTCTCTAAACCTCGGTTTAACAATGGTAACTATCATCATAGGATTTCTGTTAAGATTACATAACACACGCAAAGTGTTGAGAACAGTGCCTGCCATACAGCCCTCGATAAATAAAAGCCATTACATTTATTTTCTTGTAATGAAACTTAGGCTCCAACCAAGGCCTAATTGTAAAGATTTAATATTTCACTAATGTTAACACTCAAAATATGAGTCATTTTACTGTGGCAGTTTGAAAAAAGTTTAAAAACAGTATCTTTCAAAGGGACATTTAATTTCTAGTTAAACTGGGTAGTATTCATTTTTCCCCTTATTTTAATGGCAGGAATACTACCTTATAGCTATAGGTATTCTTACATATTAGATGGGTTTTTTTTTGAAATATCATGTTTACACTACACTTATAACGTAAAAGAGGAAGATGAATAAAGATCTTAAGCATTACTAATGCTTCTCAAATAAGTGAACTTATTTTAAAAATTCCCATATCTAAATTAAAACTAACATTTCTCTATTACCTTCTCCTTTCACAAATAGGATAGTTGTATCTGCACTTGGTGAAGCTTCAGGCTCACCAGATACATCTTCTTCCTCTTTATCTTCTGCCTAAGAAAAAGAACATTAAGAAAAAATTACTATGGGAGAAAAATACAACATCATTTGAAAATAATGACTTCACTAGGTTGGGACAAAATATTGCTTCTCCAAGGCTTTGTTCGGAATAATAGTGGTAGGAATTTCATTGTATCTCATCAGTTAAAATAAAACTTCTAGAGCGGTGCATCTCAAACAGTAATGTGCACATTGACTGCCCGGGGATTTTGCAGATCTGATATTCAGATCTAGGATGAAGCCTGAAATTCTGTGTTTCTCATAAACACCCAGGAAATGATGACGCTGCTGATACTCGGACCACATGTTGAACTGCAAAGTTCTAGAGCCTGGGTTGGTAAACTTTTTCTGCAAAGGGCCAGATATCAGCTATTTCAAGCTTTAGGAACCCTGAGGTCCCTGTTGCAACTACTCAACTCTGTGGCTGCTTTCACGCCGCAAAGAAAGCAGCCACAGACAATACGTAAAAGAATGGGCACGGCTGGTTTTAGCCCACAGCCACATTTTGCCAAGACCTGTTCTAGAGCACTTTGTCATCAGCCTAAAAAGATTTCCATCCCGATTAACAGAACAATTTTCCTGTGAGAGTTCATCACACATCTTGGAAGAAATGGCTTAAAAAATAAAAAAAGTGACCAGGGAAGATACTGGGGTGATAGAGATGTCCTAAAACTTGACTGGAATTGAAGAACTTGGTACACTTACTAAAAATCATTGAATTGTTGGGGCCGGCTCCATGGTTTAGCAATTAAGTGTGCGCGCTCCGCTACTGGCAGCCCAGGTTCGGATCCCGGGCACGCATCAACGCACCGCTTCTCCGGCCATGCTGAGGCCGTGTCCCACATACAGCAACTAGAAGGATGTGCAACTATGACATACAACTATCTACTGGGGCTTTGGGGGGAAAAATGGAGGAAGATTGGCAATAGATGTTAGCTCAGAGCCGGTCTTCCTCAGCAAAAAGAGGAGGATTGGCATGGATGTTAGCTCAGGGCTGATCTTCCTCACAAAAAAAAAAAATAATAATAATAAAAAAATCATTGAATTGTATACTTAAAACAGGTAAATATTATGACAAGCAAATTACATCTCAATAAAGTTGTTAGAAAATGTGAACAGATTTTAATTTAAAACTTCAAACCTCAGTGCAGCATTCTCTTGGCATCAATGAGGATTATAAAGCTATTCATATATTTGAAGTGTCCAGGCCCCTAATAAATCGAGATACTTAATGGGACCATTGTTTATTGGCATTTAACTTTTCATTTACATAAAATGCTCTTTCTTCCAACAGATAGACTTTTCAGGGGCAAAGACTGTCTTATATTTTATTTATTTATATTTTGTGAGGACGATTAGCCCTGAGCTAACATCTGTTGCCAATCCTCCTCTCTTTGTTGAGGAAGACTGGCCCCAGGCTAACATTGTACCCATCTTCTACTTTATATGGGACACCTGCCACAGCAAGGCTTGATGAGCAGTGTGTAGGTCCGCGCCCGGAGCTCCGAGCCCCGGGCTGCCGAAGCAGAGTGCGCAAACTTAACCACTATGCCACTGGGCCGGCCCGTCTTTTGTTTTTTTGGGTTTCTTTTGTGAGGAAGATCAGCCCTGAGCTAACATCCATGCCAATCCTCCTCTTTTTTGCTGAGGAAGACTGGCCCTGGGCTAACATCTGCGCCTATCTTCCTCCACTTTATGTGGGATGCCGCCACAGCATGGCCTGACAGGTGGTGCATGGGTGCGCACCTGGGATCTGAACCCGGGCCGCCAGCAGCAGAGTGCGCATACTTAACCGCTATGCCACGGGGCAGGCCCCAGCCCCAGCCCCAGCCTTATATTTTAAAAATTCTCCACACTCACTTCATATGCTTAAAAGAGAAGGCACTCAAATATTTGTATTATTTGTTATTGTATTATAAGTATTTGCAATTGTATTGTAAGTTATATTTTAAGTATCCTTAATGATACCATTCATTTAGTCAGATTAGCGAATTTCTACTTTTGGGAAAAGAGACCAAAGACAGGAAGACAGGAACCATACGCTGTAGCAATAAAGAGGAAAGAGTATACTTGAGAAACAGTTAAGAGAAATCATCCCCAAGATTTAATTAATGGAGTTGTGGAGTAAAAAGAAACGGAAGTAACAAGGCAATAGCTTGAATCACTGAGCCATGTCAAGACAAGCAACAGTTTATGGAGGTGGGATGGATGGTAGATGCTGAATTCCATTTTGAACATATAAAACTTGAGGTACTTAGGGAGCATCCCGATGGTGCTATCCTACAAAAGAGCTGAAAATAAAGGTATGGAGCTCAGTAAGGTAGATGGCTAGAAATGAGATCTGAAAGTCATCAATATAGGGTGGTGTGGTTGAAACCCGAGGTTTCATCAACATTAAGGGGGTGAGCAGAGGGAGAGAAGGTAGTAGAGAGACCAAACAGCAGCAGCTGGGCAGGGAAAACTGAGAGGCGATGCCACAGGAGCCAACACAAAGAACTCAAGGAAGGGGTAATCAGCAAATGCTAAAAGGGGCTCGAACAGTATACTAGTGGAAAACAAGCCAGTAATTTGGCAATTAGGTCACTGGTGACTTAGCAACAACAGTTTTACTAGATACATGGTACCAGAGCGTGTTAGCGAACAAATGTGACATGAGCAGGAGAGAAAAGCTGTACAGTTTATTCCTTCAAGAAGCATGCTGGTAAAGAAAACAAAATGTGTAGCAACTCAAGGTGAAAGACTAAAAAGTGGAGTAAATAAGCACATGTGTTAGCTTAATAGCAACAAGTCACTGAGCTGGATCAACACTCGAAGTTACAGAAGGAAAGAGAATAATTTAACAGATCCCACAGGATGAGATGGGGACAAGGGCACAGACAGTAGGACTAGCCTTAGAAGGGAGTAAGACAACTTACTAATAAATAGGAGAAAATGTAGAAAGGATGGGTAAATAATACATTTAGAAGTAGAAAATTTGATAGAGTTCACACTTGATTACCTTCACTTTCTGACACTGAAGGCAATGTTGTTGCTAAGATTGAAGAGAAGTGATTTTAGAGTTTGAAAGTGGTGAAGGTTTGGAATGCTAGTTGTGAAGAACTGGAAAGTATATGTAAGTAAAAGTAAACAACTCATTTGTCTCATAGCTAGTTAGCATATCATAAGATGTATAATGCTTAGTACCTGCTACCTGATAATGCTCCAAAATATTTCAGCTATTACAGACTATCTCCAGGAGAGTAAAGAAACTGGCAGCACTGGGGAGACAACCTCAGCAGCTGGAGGACAGGCAGGCAAGAGCAACTTTTCACTACATACCTTGCATCTTTTAAATTTGGAGCCATTCAAATATATTATCCATTTTAAATAATAATACCAATATTTTAAAGTTAGCTAGTGTTATTACTACTATATCTGCTGTTTTAATAAAAACAAAAACTGCTATCATTGCTGTTAAGAAAAACACTTTCAGAGAATGATGGCAAGCTACACTGCAACCCACACCTTTATAGACAAAAGGATAATCAAGGGGTTAGGAAAGCTCAAAGTGACAAAAAAAAAAAAAAGGTTTGTATTGAAAAATTTTAAACCAATAACCTGCATCTAACCAGCTGTTGGTATCTCAGATGTTAGGAAAAATCTCCTTTCCCTCCCTTGACTCCAGACACAGGCCCAGTGGCAAAGGATCCTTCCATATCCCCCAATTCCTTGATACCTAAGGCAGTTGTGTATAAGTTGATAATATAAATCTTGGAGAAGAACAATAACAGGAGAAATTCTAGGGTGCTCAACTCTGGAGGTAACTTTTGTAGCAGCTCTGGCTCTAAGGGCCTTT